GGGCTCAGAGGCCAGATTTATGAGAGGGTTCCGGGCCGATTCCTTGATTACAAGCGATGCTGTCCATGAGTCCTTGCTGCTTCATGAAAAGGAGTTCGCCTTGCAGTTGAATTCCAAAGCTTTGCTTTTCCAGAAATCTTAAGCAGGCCAAAAGAGTGGATTCCTTATTGGCTTGCTTATTCAAGAAGGCATATTTTCATTGCTTCGTGAGCTACCCCTTACAATGGCCCTTCCCAGCACTCCTGGCCAGATTTATGAAAGGGTTCACATTAATGAAAAAAAATACCGGGCCGATTCCTGGATTAGAAGCGATGCTGTCCATGAGTCCTTGCTGCTTCATGAAAAGGAGTTCCCCTTGCAGTTGGATTCCAAAGCTTTGCTTTTCCAGAAATCTTAAGCAGGCCAAAAGAATGGATTCCTTCTTGGCTTGCTTAGTCAAGAAGGCATATTTTCATTGCTTCCTGAGCTACCCCTTACAATGGCCCTTCCCAGCACTCCGGGCCAGATTTATGAAAGGGTTCACATTAATAAAAAAAATCCCGGGCCGATTCCTGGATTAGAAGCAATGCTGTCCATGAGTCCTTGCTGCTTCATGAAAAGGAGTTCCCCTTGCAGTTGAATTCCAAAGCTTTGCTTTTCCAGAAATCTTAGGCAGGCCAAAAGAGTGGATTCCTTATTGGCTATGCGGCGACAGCTAACTACTTTCTGCACCAGCTGCACTGCTCTTTGCTCCATGCTGCCACTGTCTGCATGTTGTGCCACCACAAGAGCCAAATCACTGCATCAGCTCTTCTCTTCACAGCCCACCCCCCAATCCCCCAATCATTCTATTAATGCGACCCCCCACTGTCCATTATTGTGACCGCCCTAATCCCTGGACCCGCTGGGGGGCGGGGGGGGGCCCCCCCCCCTATTATTGCGACCCTCGGATTAAGGGTACTACTGGGAATTCTAGGCAAATATAGTTCAGCGACTGAGGGCTTAAAATCTTACTGGTTTAGGGCTACCAGGCTACGTGGCTCAAGACTCGCGATTTGGTGGGCGAGCACGCCAAACCCGACCCTGCACTATTCAGCTAGTGAACACTTCAATTGCACAATTCAAGGTGCTCTGTTTGCTTCCCTGCTATAGGATTGAAACTCAATGCTTCGAGAAGTTCAGGGTTTAGGGATGCGGACAGGGATTTCGGACTCATGTCCGCTGTCTCTCAAAAAACCTGGCATCTAACAGATTAACTTGTTACGTGCGCACCCACCAAGGCTCGTAGCTCAGAACACTGAGCCACAGAACAAACGTTTAGGGTTTTTAAGGGCTCTATGGGGGATCTTTATAGTTACGGTTTAGGGTTTAAGGCGTCAGAAACCCAAGCCGGCCCAAACCAGCGATCGGTTTCAGAGCTTCAGAAGGAAGGGCTTTACGGGACTTCGTGTGTCATCGCTACTGACCAGCACCACCCAGAATGGGCTAAGCCCATCCAGGCCACAAACAGGTCTCGCGGTCTGGTAGCAGACGGCAAGGAGAAAACACCATTTCTTCAAAAATCGGTGTCCCTATGGTATGGATGCCAATGCCACGTCCGAGGGCCTCTGCAATTTTCTTGCAAGAAGATCGCACGCCGGCTGTAATAGGCGAATTCGCTCGGGCAGACCTGTCACGCCTTCGAAGAAGAGCCATATTGTGCCAGTGAAACATCCTGAAATCACCAGAACAACTTCGTTTTGGTAAGTACGAGATGGCTTGAGGGACTGCAGTGAACATGCAATGGCTATTCCACATCTGTCGTGTTGATTTGTATCTCAGCTAGCACGTGGATTTTGCAGCTGCTCAGAGATACCGAAATCTTAAGCCTAAACCCTGAAATATCGTACGCCTCGAAACGATCAAGATTCACAGAAACGAACCTAGAGCCCTGTAGCTGGTAGCCAATCTAGAATGCATTTCGTCTATGCCGGTGTCTAATCTCACACCCGAACATGCTCCACTTCCTCTGACGATATATTTGCTAAGAGCCCTGGTTTGAGGAACCCCAACCCTAAATCCTAAACGGTCCGCCAAGTCAAAAGACACATATAGTGCCGATATCCCCGCAACAAGCCACAGATGAACTCTCTACTGTTCCTAGGGAACCCTCTATGCACCTGCCACATTCCCCACAATAAAGTTTCGGTCGAAATGAAAAGCATCCCCACGCTTAAATGAACCCTGCTTCAAGCAACACCTCCAAACCTGCACTTCTTGCCGAAGGCGTCGACAGGAAGGCTATGGGGAGCCGCAGCCACACGGGGATACACAACATCTACAGAGGCCGTAACGACTAGAATGGGGTGCTATAGGCTTTGCTTGGGATTTATAATGCTGTGCGGCCAAACTCGAAAACTGCAGCTTAAGAGTTTAGGGTTCAGGGTCCTGTAAGGATTCAATTGCTCAGGCTCATGAAACTCGGGCGTTCGAAGGGTTCCCCCTACAGTAACTGCAGGTCAACTGGTACATGCACGTATATGCACATATGTACGTAAACATGAACCATCATCATACATATCTGTATGTATATGTGTACAGACACGTATCTACACAAACATGTGCATGTACATGGCTACTTAGACTATGAAAGACAGCCTAGATACTTTATCCTTCGGCTCACCCTCATCGTCACAGAAAGGGTAGTGTAACTAGGGGCCATAACAATTCGAGTAGCTTCTTGGGGATAGATGAAAACAATACCTATGTTGAAAACTTAAGGAAAAGCATCCGTAATTTGTCCACTCAAGAGTTTTAGGACGAGGGAGCTGCAGGGTTCCCTTTGTGAAGGGTGCAGTAAACGCTCCTTTAAAGCCCAGCAAGGGTGCAGGTTTAGGGTTGCTGGCATAGAAGAACCAGAGTTCAGTTTTCAAGTTGGGTTTAGGGTTTAGGGTTTAGGGGTTGGGGACATGAAGTGTGGGTAAAGCGCTGGTGTCGTAAGGACAAGACAAATTGCGTTAGCAATATTCCTAAAGAAGCCTGTGAACAATCACCACAAGTCTAACATCAACCTTACCTTAACAAACCTAGGGAGCCAGTAGTGCAACACGCCTACGCCCTAAACCCTAAACCCGAAACCCTGAGATTTAGGAGCAAGCCGGCAGTCGGAACCCCTCACAGGTTTAGGGTTTAGGGTCAAGCTTCTAAGGTGTAGGGTTCAGAGCTAAATTCGTAATCCATACTTAACAGGTAGTCTTGAATTTCGGGCTTACGGAAATATGATTTTAGAGACGAGAATTTCAAGCTTTCGCTTCTACTTTGCTACAGTTTCTTGTTGCGAATTTCCGCAGGCTTCTGGTCCTCATAGGGGAGGACATGCAGCTCCACAATCAGGTGTGGGAGCTTTGCACGTGCAAAAGCAAGGCCATCTGCCCCCCATCTCGGAGGGTTTCATGGCTTGGGTGCTCGGGGCTTAGGGGTTAGTTAACATGGGGGGCCTTATTAACTAGAAAAAGGGTTCATTTAACGAGGTCCATGATGGCTACTACAAGGGCTATTAAAAGGATTTAGTAGATGGGCCTTAGTAATTAGAATAGGGTTTTGGGGCCCATTATACTACAAGTATCATAAGGAACCCCCACAATAGTATTGGTAATTCTTTAGGCATCTGTATCAGGTTGAGGGTGTAGGGCCAGGGTTTAGAGCTTAGGCTAAGGTTTAGGGCCAATACCTGGGCATCATAGATAAAATTGGGCTTTGTCGTAGAACTCTGGCAGAATTATCAGCAAGCACCCTGAGGAATAGTACTATTGAAGCATGGCCCCTATGCCCTTTGCTCGGGCTAGTCTTTAGTCTTGCGGATTTATGAAACAATTTAGAACGTGAGAGTTTGAGTTTCACGATTTCGGACCGGATACACTGAAGAATCCCCTCGTTCAGTGTCGATACCACCCAAATCCTCCCAAGCCGACGCCCAAAACACTACTGTGAGAACCCTGAGCCCTCCTCCTTCGTTGAACAGTCTACCGGTGCGCCTGTTGTTCCCAGAGACTCCAATATCCCTTACTTAAGGAATATTCCGTAAATTATAGTAGGATCCCTTTTATGATTTAAGGAATATTCCTTAATTAAGGGATATTGGAGTCTCTGGGTTTAAGCAGCCGGGAACATGAAAACCCAATTGTTCTTTTCAAATTTGAGGGGCCGAGGAATGTCGAGCCTACGCAGCTGAGGGGGATGATGATCGGCGGGGCTGCAGGACCCATTCAATGTGGGATCTCTCCAGGCTCTATAGTGATCAGGCTCGACAAGAACGACTAAGCAACTTGGTAAGTACCTGGTAGTATGTAGAATAGTAGCCATTTATAGCTTTCGGGCCTTATTTTACCTACTATGGGGGGGTCTAGGTAGATGACAAGCCAAAAACTTTTTTTATGCTGGCGTAGACTGAACGCAAACACTGGCAAGGCACCCAGCAACCCTCAACCCCAAACCCTTGCAGCCCAATCAGAGAGACCCCTGCGGCTTCCATGACCAACCGCTGAATCCAACATATGTGCAGCAGCCTGGCGGCAGCGTGGTCGGCCAATTGTGGCGAGAACAAGCGTCGCACGCACCCCACCCCAAATGTTCGCGGGACTGAGACGGGAACATCGTTTTTGGCGTTGAAAACACAACTCGTACAAACAAGACACGACATTGCATGCGCCAGGGACATGACCCACAACCCGAAGTAAGCACGGCACTGTGGCTGGCGCAGGAATCGGGCGATTGGACGGCAAAAGCGAACACGGAACTGTGGCAAAAAACATTTCCTCGCACTCCCAAGTGCGATGCAGCAGATACACTTACAAAATCCTCGCAAACTGTACCCTACAGTCTTTTCATTGTATATACAGGCTTTCATACGCATGTATGTGCACATACATACATACATACATACATACATATCTAGTACGGAGTGAGGGAGGAATTTGTTCTACGCACAGGTTGCTACACACGCTATGGAAAAAGGCTGAGATGGGGAAAGCCATGCTGGTGCCCTATACAAGAACCAGCCGTCGTGGGCCAGCTCCGGACGTCTCCGCTACTTCCCTGTCATCTTCATGAGCGCCTTGGCTGCGGGAGGGGTTTTTGCGGATTAAAGTTTTAAAGGGTTTATAACGGTTTAGGGTTTAGGGTTTAGGGGATAGGGCGTAAGATTTGGGCAACGATTTTTCAGAGTCATGTAATGGTTTGCAAGGGTGCTAGACAGGTATCCAGGAATTCAAGACCATCGGTTACGGGTTTAGGGTTGAGGCAGCGGTTGAGGGTTCGGGCGTGAGGGATCTAGGATTCTTCATGGAATGTTCGGACTTTGGAAGCCTTGTGGCTAGGGTTTGAGGGGTTCCATTATATAGGTGGTTGTTCAAATTAGGGTCCCTTTTTTAATACCTATTATAATACGACACTTAGTATTTTGGGTACCCAAAAAGGGGCCATAATTTTGACAGCTACCCATATTAGGGTTTAGCCTTACAGAATACAACAATGGCAGCAAGATCTCTCAAATTTCAGAGAGAGTTGTGTGAGTTCAGGTACGTTGCTTAGTTCACGAGCCGCTATCCTCAACGCCATAAAATCACAAGCCCCGTAATGCACTGCAAGCCACAACTAGGACACCCAGTAACCTAAGAATAAAAAGGCCTCTCTTTTTGGTATTGGGTAACTTTATAAGGAACCTAGGACTACAAAAAGGGAATAAGGGTACTACTGGGCATCCTAGAAAAGTGCACAACCACATCTAACCCTGCAAAGCACCTCCAAACCCGTACACAACACCACGAAAATCAAATTTAGACCCCGATCTTCCCTAAACTCCTAAGCCCTAAAACCGGAACCCAAAACCCTTACCCCAACTTCTGCACCCAAGGCACGGGGCGCGGAGTTCGTGGCATTTCCAGCTGTGGGAACCTCGGGCTTAGTCGGTTTGGGCTCCTTTTAAGGGATCCTTTAGGAATGGTTCCCGCGAGGGTCCCTTAAGGTTTCTGAGGGCTTCAGGTTTGGGGTTAGGGTTTCGGCAAGTAGTCTTTAGGGTCTTTTTTTTTGAAGCTCCCTTTTCCACCTGCAATACTGGTCCTACAGGCAGAAGTGTCTAGGCTCTGGGGTTTAGGCTTGGGGTGTAGTGCTGAGGGCCCAGGATTCCTTCGAGGTTCCTGGACGGCTCATAGAAGGGCTTAAGACAGTTTAGCGATTGGACAGACAGACAGACAGACAGACAGACAGTGGGCTTATGCACTGTATAACGTTATGGCCATAGCAGTCTCAAGGGGATCTTTTAATTTTCCAGCTATACCTCTCGCCAAGGAGCCTGACGAGAATCCAAGATTAACGGCTTGGTTGCCAGCTCGGCTTGCGGGCTTAGGGTTTAAGGCTTATGGCCTTAGGTTTAAGCTTCAGGTTTGGGGTTTGGACTTAGGGTGTTTTTTAATGTGGGTGTCGGTTTTGGAATATAGGCCTTTAATGTGTCGGCTCCGGGGCTAATTCCGAATCTTACCCAAAATTTGGGTGTTCTAATTAATGCGTTTTTTTTTTCTGGGATGATTTTTTGGTGGCGGGGCTGTGCTATTTGCTGATGGTAAATCTTAAGGCAGCCACGACCTAAACCCCCACCCAAACCCCCACCCAACCCTAAAACCCTGGCCCTGAAGCCCGAAAATCTCTTGCAGAATTGTTTCGCTTATTGGGGCGTCAGGAATGAGACTCTGTACTACTACTGTACTACTACTGTACTACTATTGTACTATTGTACTGCTACTGTATGCCTTGCTTATTTGGGGGGGCTGCTAGGGTGAACCGCCGAATTGGGAATTGGACCCTTGCTCGACAAAGGCCTCTCCAGTACTAAAGTTTGTATAAAAAAACTCAATTTTGGGTCCAATCTGGACCGACCCCCCTTTGGAAAGGGTTTAGGGCCTAGGGTTTAGGGTTTGTTAGGGTTTAGGAGTTTAGGATTCGTTAGGGTTTAGGGTTTGTTAGGGTTTAGGGTTTAGGGTTTCAGGCACTGGCTTTATGCTTTGCTTATTGGGGGAATGTGCTCACTGGCTTTATTTTCTGTACTATTACTGTATTACTACTGTACTACTGTACTACTGTTGTACTACTACTGTACTACTAGTGTACTACTGTACTACTATTGTACTACTACTGTACTATTACTGTACTACTATTGTACTACTGTACTATTATCGTACTACTACTGTACTACTATTGTAAAACCACTGTACTACTGTTGTATTACAATTGAAAACTACTGCACTATTATTATACTACTACTGTACTACTATTGTACTACGGTACTATTATCGTACTACTACTGTACTACTGCTGTACTACTATTGTGCTACTATTGTACTACTGTACTATTATTGTACTACTACTGTACTACTATTGTACTACCACTGTACTACTGTTGTATTACTATTGTACTACTGCACTACTATTGTACTACTATTGTACTACTACTGTGCTGTTTCTACTGTGCTATTATTGTACTACTGTACGATCATTGTACCGCACCAAGCTTCAGACGTGGTCGATTGTGGGTGGGAGTGTGGGAGTGTAGGTTACGGAAGCAAAAGTGTTCAAAATGAAGGGTTTTTAGTCTTGGTAGTAATCTTCGAGTGATCGGGGCTTGGTTTCCAGCATTTGGTGATCCCCAGACCCCCCCGACCCCCGACCGCGCAGAACCGCAGACCCTGCACCCAAGCCAGCCCCCAAACCCCGGCACTCCCAATTCCCTGCCACTCAGACCCCTGACCCCTGTTCCGGCGTCACCGGCTCCATATTAAATAAATTTGTTTTTGTTGGTTGGGGGGGGGGGTACCCCACTATTAAACCGACACCCACATTAAGTGCAGTAGCCTCTTTCTCTCCACCAATCGAGACTCGCTCTCAGACGAGCTTGGATGTAGGGTTTAGGGATCAGGGCTTCAAGGTTTGGGGTTTGAAGGTTTCGCGCGACGCAAACTCAAAACTCTAAGCCGCCTTCCGGCCCGACGTCTCTAGCCGAACGGTTCAGTGCAAAATGGGCGGGTGCACCCATGAATGGGTTCAGGGTTCAGGGTGTCCTGTCAAGCACATTGAGCTAGAAATACATCATTTAGGGTTTAAGGATTTGGGGTTCAAGGTTTGAGCATATCAGGTTTAGGGCTTAGGGCCTGATGGAAGTTTACAAATTTGGGTGGGCCGGGGTGGAGGCTCCCTTGCGTTCCATCCAAGGTGCCAGTGATGTCACTGAATTGGTCTGTGTCGAATTTCCCTGGACCAGGCCTCCGGAACGGTCTAGCTAAGGTTTAGATGTTAGGGGTTTAGGGTTTAGGAGTTTAGGGATTTAGGGTTTAGGGGTTAGATGTTAGGGGTTTAAGGTTTAGGAGTTTAGGGATTTAGGGTTTAGGGGTTAGATGTTAGGGGTTTAGGGTTTAGGAGTTTAGGGATTTAGGGTTTAGGGGATAGGGGTTTGGGGTTTAGGAGTTTAGGGATTTAGGGTTTAGGGGATTAGGGTTTAGAGGTTCGGCTCTGGGTTTCGGGTTTCCTCAACCTCCCCGAAGCTTCTCAGTTTAGGGTTTATAGGGTTTAGGGTTTAGGGTTTAGGGTGAACCGTAGGGACATGTTCAGGATTGTAGAGGTTAGGAGGTTTAGGAGATTTTAACTCAAAGCTGAGTGTTACGTCTTGGGCTCTGGCTTATGGGATCCACATTGGTTCTGCATGCTGCCCAAGGCAACCAAGCACTGATTTGCAGAACTGATACACGAACCCAAAAGGTTTCAAAATTGGGTGCTAGAGAACCGAATTGACATTTATCGTGTGTGGAAAGTTATGGCTTTCGAGAAATACGGCGTTCAAAAAGGCCAGGTTTCGCGTCATAAGTGAATTTCAAGTCATTAAGTTAATAATCATTAAGTCGAGAATGGGTATCATCAAGAAACCTAGTCAGTAGGATCCTTCTTGCAAGGCCCCCAAAAGACCCTAAACCCCAAACCCTAAACCAGTCACCAGTCCCCTGTTCCTGATTCTACCAGAGCTCCATGTAGGGTTCAGGATTTTGGGCTCAGTGCCTTGTGTTATGTTGATGGAGTATCTATGCCCTGACCCGAGCCCCAGAACCCGCCTGAATGTGAAGATACCTACAGCCTTCGGGCTCCTCATTAAGAGTTCCTTGTGCATTTGCTTTTAGGGTTTAGGGTTGTTGTTGTTTTAGGGTTTAGGGTTGAGGGTTTAGGGCTACTTTGCTTGAGAAGCTCCGGGCCAGACCTTCCTCAAGCAAAACATTGATCCTTGGACCCCCAAGAAGGGCCCTTTAATAGAGCCCGTATGGCCCTTGATAACGGGTATTTGGGGTGTGGTTTAGGGTTTAGGGTTTTGGGGAGGGTCGAGGAAGACGCGAAGCCAGCGAACTCTACGTCTGCTGCAGAAGCAGGCGACTTCAACCCCACGAAACCTGCGATTTATATCTTCGGGCCTTATGGGCTCTATGCTAGACCTACTTGTCGGGGATCATGGGGAACCAAAGGTTAACCTCTTTGGTTATGTTATAGGGATTATATAGGGACTATACTACCCAAAAAAGGTGAAAGGTTACCTACTCTACTACTAGGTAGACGGTTTCGGGTTTACACAGGGTTCAGGATTTAAGTGACTGTTGGGGTCTAGGGTTTGCATCAAACATCGAACACACGGCGACTCTGCATCCTTCTACATGGTTCTCATTGACCTAAATCGCGAAGTCTGCACATCAGAACTCCAATAGCCGCGATTCTGCAATTGTGAAGCCCTGATTGAATCGCTTAGGAAAGAGCTAAGCTGCCCGTATTATGGTTCCCCCGTACTTGATGGTTCTGCAAACCGCCGGGGATGATGAGTATGATCGCATTGCTCTATTTGGTAGAGGGTTTACGGATTAGGGGTTTTCAGGATTTAGGGTTTGGGGTTCAGGCTGTAGGGTTTAGGGGATGGTGACGGTGAGAGTTAGTAAGTTATGTACATCTTTGGAATCTTTCACTAGACCCAAGAGTAACCTAGGAGAAAAAAGGGTGCCCTTTTTGGGTTAAAGGGGGTTATAAGAGAACCTAAACCCCAACAAAAAGGGAATAAGGGCCTACTCTGGGTCCTAGTTCTGCGTGCGAGCAGGCATGTTCCGATGGTGATCACTCTCTTCATGGAAGACAAGCGGCAAGTGACATAGGGGCCTTAATAATTAGAATAGGGTTTTGGGGCCCATCATACTATAATTATACTAAGGAACCCCCAAAACCTTATTCGAATCATTAAGGCCCCCCATATTAATTATTAATGCCCTGCGATCAGTTGTTCTCTCGAGAGCTCCAAGCTTGCCAACTTGTTATCATCTCTTTCCAGATTCCACCATTCATGGAGGGAGTCTCGATGAGCAATAAGCTTTCCCAATTCTTTTCCTCGCTGGAAAATGTCCTGGATAATATCGGAGGTAAAAAATGAAATCCGCCTGGATCGCAGTGCGAGCGAACCTTTCGTTCAAAAGCACGCCCGTGCCCTGCCTTGCCATGACCCTCTGCGGCGGCAACTGCCGTCGAAGCCGCGGCATGTGCCTCCTGCCGCATCTCCAGCTCCGACCGTTTCTCAAAGATTTGGCGTTCCAAGTTCGCAATGTTCTCCATCAGCCCTGCGAGGCGTGCGGAGGAAATCCAACAGCGCGACCCCGCCGTTGCAAACTCCACGCTGGGACACGTGGGTACAACCACCTAGGGGGGTAGCACCTCGTCTTGCTGCTCCAAGTTGTGCCGTCAGTGTATAGGCCCAACATGTTGGTGCAAACCCTCGCTGATCAACTCCATGAGCCCGGAGGTGCGCCGCACGGGTTGTTCGACATGTTCAGGGTCTGGGGCTTGGATCCTTAATAATCGGGCTTTTGGGTTTAAGGTTTAGGGCTGAAACCTACAATCCTAGACACACCACAAGACCCAAAGTCCTAGTCAAACACACCCCAGAAGCCCTACACATCACCCCAAACCTCGAAACACAGAACCAAAAGAGCCACGAACTTCACCAACCCAAACCCTGGCAAACTCCCTCAGTTTAGGGTTTAGGGTTTAGGGGTTTAGGGTTTAGGGGTTTAGGATTTAGGGTTTAGGGTTTAGGGTTTAGGGTTTAGGATTTAGGGTTTAGGGTTTAGGGTTTAGGATTTAGGGAGCCTCTAAATACCACTGGCCCCTGCCATCGCTACCAAAAGCCCAAACCCGAAAACCCTCGCCGCAAAGCCCTCCCCAAACCCAAATCCCCTAAACCTTAGGTAAGGCCCCCATACAGTAAGAGTCTATAATAGGGCTACTATTAAGGTCCTACTATATCTATATTATGAAATAGATTATTCAACTATTAATGATCTGGTGCCGTACCCAACGTAAACCCGGCAAACCTACAACCGTAAAGCCATCAACACACAAAAAACACATAAAACTGAACATACATAAAGCCCAAAGCCCCCGACTAAGCCCTACGCCCTAACCGCGCCAAGATCCAGAATCCTCAAACAAACCTTAAAACCCAAATTGAACCATGGACCCAAACTCCTAAATCCTAGACCCTTAACCCTTATAGCAGCCTTATAGATCCCTTATAGGATCTTACAAAAGCCCACGCTGCTTTCGGGGAACCCTGAACCCAAAACCCTAAACCCTTCTACCTAAACCCTTTCTCCTAACCCCTAGCCCCTAAACCCTAAACGGCCCTAAACCCCCAACAAGACGCACCCCCTTTAAAGGAACCCAAAGCCCTAAACCCCAACAAGACGAACCCCCTTTAAAGGAACCCTAAACCCTGAAACCCCCAACAGAACGCACCCCTTTAATTAAAGGAACCCCAAACCCTAAAACTCCCAACAGAACGCACCCCTTTAAAGGAACCCTAAACCCTAAAGCCCCCAAACAGAACGAACCCCTTCAAAGGAACCCTAAGCCCTAAACCCCAACAAGACGAACCCCCTTTAAAAGGAGCCCTAAACCCTAAACCCCCAAACAGAACGAATCCCCAGAAACGCCGCCTGGGTCCTAAACCCTAAACCCGAAGCCCTAAGCCCTAAACCCTAAGCCCTAAACCCCTTTAAAGGAGCCCCAAACCCTACCATAACCCTGAAGAACCTACCTTTTTAGGGTTCCTTATTATGATTTCCTTATATAAGTCCTTAAAAAGGTAGGTCCTTCAGGGTTAAGGTAAGCCCTAAACCCCCAACAAAACGAACCGCCGCCTGGGTCGGCCCCGGGGGTCCGAGGGAAGACCGGGGCGGCCGCCAGAACCGACTGCTCGGGACCCGCTGTGCCTTGGTTTAGGGTTTAGGATTTAGGGTTTAGGGTTTAGTGTTTGGTTGGGTTCAAAGGGGAAAAGGAGGGACCCTTTAAGGGTCCCTTTAAAGGGATCTATAGGGATGCTATGAGTGTATAGGGTTTAGGGTTTAGGGGTTTGGGACCCGCTGTGCCTTGGTGTCTTAGGAGGCCCAGGGTTTAGGGTTCCCAGAGATCCCAATGCCCCTTAATTAAGGAATATACCTGAAATCATAATATTGAGGCCTCTATAATTTAAGGTATATTACTGAATTAAGGGGTACTGGGTTCTCTGGGTTTAGGATTTAGGATTTAGGGTTCCTTCAAAGGAGCCAGGGGCGCCTATAAGATCCTATAAGGGGTCTAAAAAGGTGCTATAAGGGTTAAGGGTTTAGGGTTTGGGGTTAAGGGTTTAGGATGTAGCATTTAGGATTTAGGGTCTAGGCTTTAAGGCTTCTTTTAAAGGAGCTGCAAAGGAATTCTAAGGTGCCTTGGTGTCTTGGGAGGGCTCAGGGTTCCTTTTAAGGGTTTTAGGGTTTAGCGTTTTAAGGTTTTAGGGTTTTAGGGTTTAGGGTCTGTTTGAGGGTTTTGGGTCTTGGTGTTGGGTTTAGGGTTCCTGTTAAAGGAACTGTGAGGGTTCGCCCGATAAGGGATCTATCAGGGTATTATAAGACTATATTGAACTTAGCCTTGGTGTTGGGTTTAGGGTTTGAGGTTTATTTAGGGTTTAGGGCTCCCTTAACGGAACTGTCAAGGAATTATAAGGTAACTATAAGGGAACTATAAGGCCTCCTAAAACGGATCTAAGGGTTGAGGGTTGGGGTTTAGGCTTCAAGGGCTTAGGGTGTAGGGTGTTGTAGGAGAGCTTAGGAAGGGTCCAAGTACCCGAATGGTAAGGTTTCAAGGTTCAGGGGTTTGAGGTTTAGGGTTTAGGGTTTAGGGTTAGGATGGGTTAGGGTTTAGGCCGTGGGAAGTGCAGTGGGGCTCTATTGGAGGGCTTGAGGTTTCTGCGATCGTTCAAGGTCGAGGGCTTGAGTGAAGAGGGCAGTTTTCCGTCCGGACTTGGCACTTGCATGTGCGAGCGAGTTGGAGTGCGCGCTTAGTTCGTCTGTGTCATTGTGTGCCTTTGGCAATCAACATGGGAGTTTCCGAAAATTAGGGGTATCTTATTTTGGGATCCTTATTAATAAGGATCCTACTATTTGGGGCACTGTATTAGGGTCCCCCATGTTCGGAAACTCCCACATGGTACTGATGGTCCTGGCCATGTCGTTTCGCTGTCTTCTGGTGAAGTTGTCACAAGCACCGGTATCCTGAACCCTGCGCTTACGGCTTAGTGAGGGGAGGCCAAAAGGGGCGTTTGAGATTCTTGGGGTAGGGATTCCTTAATATGAAGCCTCTTATGGGAACCCTAATCCCTGCTAAACCCCCACAGGCAAAAACCCCTTTTGGCCTCCTATGGCTTAGGGGTTATGTGGGCTTCGGGGCTAGGGCTTTGGGCCTAAGTGGGGTTCACGACTGGAGCTCTTCGAGACCCTAAGCTCTAAACCCACACGTTAGAGTCTGAACCCTATGGCATGACCATACACTATATGTTGTTCTGCACCGTAATGTTTTTCAATAATGTACTACGTACTATAGCACATAATATGCTCTTTCTCTCTCTCTCTCTCTCTCTCTCTCTCTCTCTCTCTCTCTCTCTCTCTCTCTGTATATATATATATATATATATATATTACATACTGAACCCAAAGCCCAACACTTCACCAAGCTCTTACCACGCGAGTATCTGGAGCCCGGATCGGTTCTCGACACACAACCATGTGCTCGGTTCACGCTTTAGGGTCCCTAATTAATACGTATTCCCTTGGGATTTACATGAACAACAATAAAGACATAATTCCTCAGGAAACTATTGCAAACTCTGAACCCAAAACCCCTCTGCAAGACCTTAAGCAGTCCCCAAGCTCTGAATACACAGCCATGCATGCTACATTCCAGAAACTCAAAGGCTCTGAACAGACAAGGCCGCATGATACACACAGGCCCGTGCCACATAGGCCGCTCTAAACCCTGTAAAGTTCCAAGTATTCAAGCGGCGGGCACTTTGGCCACAGAACACTTCCATTTTGCAGCCTTCAGATGTGTGTGTGTGTATATATATATATATATATATATATAGATAGATACATGCATAATGACGGGGCGTCCTTGTTGCTCAAATAGACAGATAGACAGACCTTGGAGGCCCATGAAGAACTTTCAGGGGTCCTAACTTCGAAAGGCCAGGCTACTGTTCTTCACCACCGTTTCCACGCTGCCTGACTTGTCGGAATGTCCAAGCCAGCGCAGGTAGAGGTAGGCCTTGAACAGGCTTGCGGTCTGGTTCTCAGTTCGTAATACTGTCTAATATAGCCCCCAAAAAGGATCCCCATATACGGCCTCTTAAAACAAAGACCCCAAGTAAAGAGACCACCGACCTATAAGAGGTAGGCCTCCCCAGAGAATTTAGTGCTGCTTAAACAGAGAATAGGTCGACCTTAAACTATACGAAGCTTGGCGATGCTGTGACTTCAGGTGTATCCCGGAATTGGTCTGAACTGATCTATTCCTGCCATTTCGAACTTGATTTCCGTGTTTGTATCAGCTGTGTCAGCCTTCCTTGGCAGGCGTGCTTAGAGCATTTCCGTCACTTCCCGTGTTCGCACCTGCTACTTCATCCTTGTTGCATTTCCGATGTCCGCTCAGGTCGCAGTCAATTCCGGCTTCAATCATATCTGTGCACTTCATGTTTTCGTCGTGTCCGGCTCCAGTGCCGTTGCTTTTTTCTCAATGCCCGGGGAGGGCTGCTGCATTGCCGTTGTCATTTCCGTTCTTGTGTTTCTACGATTTCCGGATTGGCTTCGGCTGCTGATGCATGCAATTCCTCCATTTCCCGGCTTCCTGTCCGTTTTCTTCCGAACATTTCGGCGTCATTTCCGTTTCGGTCTCACGTATATTCACCGTGGGGACATATACCTGCAATGTATATATAACACTAATGAATACTCTATTGGCTGTATTACAGCTTTTTAGGGTTCCTTCTAATACAGCCATGCTATCTAATACATCTATGCTACACTATGCCGCCCCAAAAAAGCTATTCATATGGGAGTTTCCGAACCTAGGGGACCCTAATATAGGACCCTACGTAGTAGGATCCCTATTATAAGGACCCCATAATAAGGTACCCCCAATTTTCGGAAACTCCCATTTTGCAGGCACGGAACAAGCCACCGGGAGGGACCCGGGGCTCCTCATTGTATTTCCCGGAGAGCCCAGTACCCCTTAATTAAGGAACATGGCTTAAATTATGTACGGCTGCATATTATGATCTAAGCTATACCTTGACCCTGAATAACCTACCTTTTTAGGGCTCCTTGTTATGATTTCCTTATATAGGTCCTTAAAAAGGTAGGTTATTCCGGGTTAAGGTATCCCTTAATGAAAGGGTATTGGGCTCTCTGGGTCTAGGCTTGTGAGCAGGCAGTTGAAAACAAGGGTACCCTTCCTCCTACTGCTCGGTTTTAGGGTTTGGGGTTTAGGGGTTTAGGGTTTAGGGTTTAGAGGTTTAGGGTCTAGGGTTTAGGGTTTAGGGTTTAGGGTTTAGGGGTTTAGGGGTTTAGGGTTTAAGGGTTTAGGGTTTAGGGTTTAGGGGTTAGGGGCTTAGGGGATTAGGGTTTAGGGGTTTAGGGGTTTAGGGGTTTAGGGATTTAGGGGTTCAGGGGGTTTAGGGTTTAGGGTTTAGGGATAAGGGGGCACTAAACAGAAAAGGGCAGAAGGGTACTACTCAGGAACCTAGATTCACACTTTAGGGCCCAGTAGCCTGTGGGTCGATAGACCGGCGGGGTGCTAGGGTTTAGGATGAGGATTACGGGTTTCGGGTGGTTGGTTCCGGGTAGACTTCGTAGGGTTTAGGGTTTCAGACGTGGGTGCTGCCCGGTCGAGGGTTGGGCTACTTAAAGGATCATGGGACTTAGTAACTAGGGTTATAATTAGGGTAGCTATGCTTATAACTACTTATAACCCCAATTAAGGTACTTATAACCTTACTTACTAAGTCCCATGATCCTTTAAGTAGGGCTGTTGTGGAAGATTGCTGGCAAACCTTCACCTACCACGTATGACGAAGCAGGCCCGATTCTGGAGGCTCCTACAGCTACTGCTACGCCCTACACCTGAAGCCCAAACCACAAGAGACCTGAAATGCGGCGTAAATAATAATGTGAATTCTGTGTCCCCTAACCCTACCCTAAGGGTTGCCAAAGGACCCAATAATTAGGCACTTGGTTTTGGAATAGCAGTTGTGTAGGTTACTATTTGGAGAGTATACGATAATAAGGTACTTGGACCCTAAGCTTAGGGCTAAACCCTCAACCCCTCCAACACCCACATTTCCAGCATGAGCTCTGCCTGTGATCTCTGAAAGCGCCACATGCCACCTCGGGTCTGGGGATTTGCTGCTTTGGGAGGCAGGGTGTTCGGGACGTCTCTGGAGTTTCGGTTTTGCGAGCCAGGAACCCGACAGCGCATTCTAAACCCGGCTGCAGGGCTTGAACTTAGGGTATAGGGCAGCGGTCACGGGGCAGGGAATGTGAAGGTCAAGGCTATATATGTTAGAAGCTGCCCCCACCCTGTCATAGTGACTATAAGGATTATATTAGGGCCCCGTCATATTCCTATTATACCACTATTTCAGGGTGGGGGCCCCTTCTAATGTATATGCTTCCAGGTTGCTGGTGGGGGATTCCAGGGATGGGGATGTCGGGTCGAAACTGTGAGGGCCATTGGGTGGCTCTCCTACCGTTGATAGTATAAATCCTGCACTACCCATAACAAGGAATAGACCATAATTCCCATAGCTAGGGTCATTAAGGAAATGCAGGATTTATACATGGTAACAAGGAATATACCATAATTCCCATAGCTTAGGGTCATTAAGTTAATGCAGGATTTGTACCATCAACCGTATCACCCGAAATCACACTCACAGAGCTTGTGGTCTGACAACACCGACTCGCGCAAGGGATGTAAGAACAACAAAGTCTGAAAACGGAGCTTCTGTGATTTTTGGTTTGGGTGTTAGATGCCTTAGATCCCTAAACCCTAAACCCTATAAACCCTAAACCCTAAACCCTAATCCCGCCCTAAACCCTATAAACCCTAAACCTAAACCCTAATCCCTAAACCCTAGAAGCCCTAAACCCTAAACCCTGTAACCTAAACCCTAAAGCCCAAACCAACCATACCCGTCACCATGAGCAGCGCTGTGCTGCACAACGTCTGATGATGCCGCTGCAAGGCTTCCCGAACGCGCCCCCGGTCAAGCTCGACGTGATGTAAGGGCCTTAATAATTAGAATTGGGTTTGGGGGGTTCCTTTTTATCATTTTAGAATAACAATACCCCCAAACCCTGTTCTAACTATTACGGCCCCTACAATTCCTACAATAATCTCGGGACTGCATGCTCGTGGCCATGGTGTCCTCGTAGTACTACGCGAAAAAGCAATTTCCGCACAAAGTGCCGTCCGAGTCAACGAATGTTTATCCCCTTTGCGGCCGATGCTTCTTTTTCCAGGTCAGCATGAGCAGATCGATAACATCACAGCTTGCAGATGTGCTTCCGGAGTCCTGGAACCTGGCACTTGATCGCAGAAGCCTCGAGGCTTCTTTCTGCCCGATGCCTCCGCATGTTTGCAGCAGGACGACTGCACGAGGACGCCGCGGCGAGGGTCATACTCAAAGCTGGCACCCTGCAACGGGTCGGTCTCCTTGTCTCCGGGTACAGGATGCGCGGCTGGTGCCCAATGTAAACCCTTCATCTTCCCTGCAGCACCACCTACAGTCTCCATTGCAGTTCTCTTTTGTTTGGGGTTACCTTAGGGGATCCTTAATATATAATTGGTTAGACCAAAAAAAGGAACTACAATGGAGACTGTAGGCACAACCCGACAGATCAGGGGGTGTCCACACCCAAGAGGACGTCGAGGCGGAGGATATGGAAACTTGTCCAGAGACGTCAAGGGTCTCCGACTTGTCCAGCATTCTAAGGGGGAACCAAAGCTTAAGCCTTGGGATCCTAGAGCGATCATGGTACCCAACAAACAACTGAAAAGACGCGATTCTCGGCTACTAGGTTCAGGGTTTTGGCTGGTAAGCGGACTTAACAGTTGGAAGACGGCTTTGTAGAATATTGTACAGATTTGTAATCAGGAACCCTGATGAAAAGTACTTTGGCTACTCGAATACATCTGCACGAGCAAGGCGCGCAATGCACTTCACAGGCTACAGTTCCAGGGTTCGGGGTTCAGTGTGTAAATTCCAGCTAGAGCTCCTACTTGGAGGTTCATCATGGGTAGTTACAAGTGGAGCTATAAGGGTTTAGGGCTGCTTCAAGGTGTCTACACGGTTTAGGGGTTAAGGTAGTTAACGGTGGAGCTATAAGTAGGGTGACCATACTTCTAACTCTAATTACGGGGCTTATAACCCCACTTGTAACTGCCCATGAACCTTCAAGTACAGTGTAGAATGTAGACCCACACCCACTTACATCCCGGTGGGGCCGCTACGCAGATGCAGCCAAGCATGTGCCTTTAATATATGTACATATATATATATATATATTCTCTAGTGGTGCGCAGTCTACGGTCCCCTACTTCACGGTTCAGGTTCCTCCAGACCTAGGCGACGCTACCTGAAGCCCGTCTGTTGCGAGACCTGGGAAAACTGCTACGAAACACAATGTTCAGGTCCACCGCGTCTCTTGCCGTAGCGTTTGGAGTTTTGAGTTAGTTTTCGATTTCGGGTTGAGGGTCTAGGGCCGAATGTTTGGGAAAGGCGGGGTTTTCGGATGTTGGGTTTTCGTTGTCGGATTAGGGTCAAGAAACACAAACCCCACACCTGCACAGACTTACACCCGAAACCCTAAACCTTAAGAGACTCTGCCGCCGCGTGTCGATTCATCTCCCTTCGAACTTCATCTGGCGGGACAGAGGCGGTATGTATGTATATGTATAGGTATAGGTCTAGGTCTAGGTATAGGCAAAGGCATGGGTATAGGTATGTGCATATGTATACGTATGTCATATGTATGTACGTATGTATACATGTATGTATAAACATATGTATGCATGTCTGTATGTCTTTCTTGATTCTAACTTTTATTTAACCTATTGGTTATTGACTTCTTTGGTGTTCTATCTGTATCTGTCTATTCAGTTACATCGGCAAACAAAATACTCGCCCTGAACTTAGGTTCTGGATTTAGACGTTTGGTCTTCGAGGGTTTTTGGGTGTAGAGTTTCGAACTTAAGGGCATAAGTAAGGTCTACTACTACAGCTGGGTTAAACTTCAAGGTTAGTGCGTAGGGTTTACCGGCTTGCAGTCCAGCATTCAAGGTTTGAGGTTCAGGGTTTAAGGTCTGGGGTTTGGTTTGGGCTCGCGGTTGAGCTGTTCGACAGCGAGTACGTGCGACTGGAAACTCGAGAACCACCTGCGATATTTCAGAGTTCAAACCGGTGTTTAGGGTTTAGGTTTAGGGTTTAGGGTTTAGGGAACTCCCGCAAACTCTCTACCACCTCCATCAGCATCAACATCAACGCCAAGAAAAGCAAGCGAACCATCGTCTTTCCTAGACATACCAGTCCAGAGCAAACAAACACACCCTGGTCCCAACCGGCGCCAAACCCTCCACCCGAAATCCTGAACGCATCAAACCCTAAAGTCACAAAGCCGAAATCCCTGACCCTACGAACCTAATCCCTAAACCCTAAACCTTAATCCCCCACAGGGTCCAAGTATCATTCTGGTATATACTTATAGGGCATTTTGGGGGTCTAAGTATATACCATGATGATACTTGGACCCTTTGGGTCCCCTAAACCCTATAAGCCGCAAACCCTCGACCGCAAGAATCAAAACGCCACTGCGCAGCGCCTGCGCCTGCATTCATCCAGCCTCAATCCCTTATGGTAGCCTTATAGATCCCTCATACTTCCTTTAAGAAAACCCTAAATCCTAACACCCTAAAAAGCGAATAAACCCTTTAAGAAACCAATAAACCTTCAAAAATATTTAATAAACCCTAACAAACCAAACACACCCTTAAACAAAAACCTAGTAAACCCTAGGCCCGCGCCTGCATTCATCCAGCGGACCTCGGAGATCTCGTGGTCGTGGCCCTTGCCCGGGTGGTCGTTCTGCAAGTAGCCTCGGTGCTTGGGGTTTTAGCAGTTTGAGGGTGTAGGGGTTTACGACAGTTCAGGGTCTAGGGATTCAGGGGCTTCGGGCTTAAGGTTTAGGGGTTTAGGGGTGTAGCGTAGTGTCGTTTGAAGGTGCCGATTGGTTTCTAAACTCGTTTGAACGTGTTTAGGGTGTACAGTAGAAGCCAGAAAGTTGGAATATCATTATCGTAACCCCTGTAAAGTAAACTATAGGGGATCCTACCATTAATCCATATTCCAACTTTCTGAAATGCCCAGGTTTAACCAATCATATATTAAGGATCCTACAAGGTAGCCCCAAAAAGAACTACAATGGAGACTCTAGGTAGAGTAGGCCCTTATTCCCTTTTTGTAGGGTTCAGGTTCCCTTATAGGCCCCCTTAAACCAAAAAGGGCACTCTTTTTGTTCCTAGGTTACTCTTGGGTCTATACTACACCCTAAACCCCTATAGATCCCTTAAGGAACCCTTATAGTACCCTTTAAAGGTGCCCTTTTTGTTCCTAGGTTACTCTTGGGTCTAGAGTAGGTCTGGTAGGGTTCCATCCGAACCTTGAGTCCCTCGACCGGAAGCCCTGCATCCTAACTCTGGACAGCCTTGGAAGTCTGTGAGCCAGCTTGAGCAATATGATCATATATATATATATATATATATATATATTTATGTGATAATACCTTATATAGTATATGATTTTATGTACTATATTATGTATTATACATTATTATATTATACTTATATAGTATATTATATATTGTATTGTATATTATTATAAGAAACCTTCACAAGCTCCATCAGGCCCCTTTATTTTATTCAGGAAATCTACGGAGCGACTCGGCAATTACGCGCAAATTCCCAGCCGTGACCCGCAGCAACCCCATGCCAGACCTTGGGTTTCAAGGCTTCCGGTTCTTCCCATGTCCTAAACCTTAAACTGTAAAAGGCCATACTGCAAGGGCCCTGCTAGATAAAATTTGGCTTGGGTTCGCATGCATATCAAAAAACACTATCCCCAAATAGAGACCTCAGCGGTTTAGCAGTTTAAGGTTTAGGGCTTCGTGGCTTAAGGTTTTAAGCTTTATAAGCTTCAGGGTTTAAAGTCTAAGGTTTTGCCTGACAATTTCTGCCCGGGCGCACTCGTAGATGCGGAAGTTGTTCCGCACAGTCGCGAGACGACCGCCTGACGGGTTTAGGGTTTAGGGTTTAGGGTTTTAGATGATTGTATAGGGGGGTATAGGGCCGCTTTCCTTTAAAGGGTCGGAGAACCCTAAAAGGGGTACTATAAGGGTACTAGAAGGAGTGTTGGGTTTGGGGTTCCTGAAAAGGGTACTATAAGGGTTCCTTTAGGGAATCTATAGGGTCTTAGGGAGTCTTGGGATCTGGGAGTTTCCGAAAACTAGGGGTTCCTCAAAGGGATCTACAAGGGCTCCTTAAAGGGATCCATAAGGGCACCTTAAAGGGATCTTTTATGGGTTCCTGTAAAAGGATCCACAAGGGTCCTTAAAGGGATCTATAAGGGTTCTATAAAGGGTTTAGGGTATAGAGCTTCTGCAAAAGGGTTACTATACGGCTACTGTAAGGGCTCCTTTAAAGGGCTCTACAAGGGTTGGGGTTTCCGCAAATTAGGGGGGTACCTCATTTTGGGGTCCTCATAAGAAGGATCCTACTATTTGGGGTACTATATTAAGGTCCCCTGTGCTCGGAAACTCCCTATACCCTATTAAACCTTCCTTTTCAGGGTTCCCTAGCATGATATGCGTATATATGACCTTAGCAAAGGAAGGTTATTTGGAGTTAAGGTAGGGGATTGGGATTTAAGCTTTATGGTTGAGGGTTTAGGGTTCAGGCTGCATGCTTTAGGGCTTCAGGGATCTAGGGCTTTAGGGTTTAGGGTTGATTCTCACGGTCACGGCTCTTCACATTTCACAGCGTAAGACTACTAAGCCCTAAACTCCTACGCCAAACCCTGAACCCTGAACCCTAAACCCTCACACCTGCAGAAGCCCTAAATCCAGGTCGGCTGACGGAGTCGGGTGCTGGTCTTAGGGTTTGGAGTTTAGGGTGGATTTGCGCGCCCTGTTTGCTGAAGAGTTTGCGCTTTTCGTCTCATTGCGTTGAGGGCTTATAGGGTTTAGGCAGTGACCAATCTTTCGTTCGGGACTTCGGCGCCAACCTTCCAACCGTGAATCTACTATAGCAGAAGATGAGATAAGATAAGATAAGCTGAGGTACGATTGAGGTCACAGATAAGATAAGATACCATAAGATAACCCAATACATTTTGGGGTAAATGGAGCACATGGCCCAACCCCAGACTAGATGCCAAGCCCCAACCCCGGAGAACAACAGCAAACTAATTTATCTGACAGGATTTCGATTTTGTTCTTCTCGACAGAAGTGTTCCGGATTGCATATCAAAGCCTGCAGAGGTCATAATGTAGGAACCCGATTAAGCAACCCTGAGACTACAACCCCCAAATAGTAGGATTCATCTGAGGAATCCTAATAAAGGCCCCAAGGTTTCTTAATCAGGTTCCTGCATGAAACCATCGGGCACTGAACTGGCAACTATCCCTAAACCCTTACCCCTAAACCCTGGGCAAAGCTCCGCTGCTGCCCATCATGCTGCTGAAGATCATCTCAAGAGCCGGCATGCCTCTAGGGGCCTGAATGACTAGGATACCCAGTAACCTAAGAAAAAATGGCTTCTTTTTGGTATTGGGTAACTTTATAAGGAACCTAGGACTACAAAAAGGGAATAAGGGTACTACTGGGCATCCTAGATGATTAGAATAGGGTTTTGGGGGCCCATTATACTATAACTATAAGAAGGAACCCCAAAAATGGTATTCGTAATTCTTTGGGCCCCTTTATTAGGGCATCGATGCTCCTGGGTTGCCAATCGCAGCGTCGCTTGGTCAATGGGCATGCTCTCATCGTCCGTAAGGCGGCATAGCTGCTACCAATCCAGGCGCAATGATGCCAATATCTCTGGCGAATGCCTAAACCCTAAACCCCTAATGGGGTCGATGCGTTGCGACCTCACAGAAGGGAAACAGTGGTAATGTAGAGATATTAATGATTAGAGTAGGGTTCTGGGCTCCTTTATAGTATAATTACCATAATGAACCCTGAGCAATCATATTGGTACTGATTTCAGCCTCTATGTTAAAGCTCTCCTTCCTGTGCGCTTCCAAGTGTCTTTGTCTCAATCGACGCCAGATTTTTCTGCAGGAGCCCTCATTACTGAGGCTCGCCTAGCGGAAAGGAACTTAATTCCATGCTGTGCATGATGTGGCGGAGTGGAATTGCAATGCATTACGTAGCACTTTCAACGATAGCAAGGCCAGCAGGGTCAAGACGAAATGCTGTCCGGCCCACTGCATGCATCCGCCACATGCTGAACTTAGAACCCTAGCCAGTTCTAATTTTAGCTGTTTCTGAGGGATTATAATAACCAAAAATTAAAAAAATCTAAGTACCCCTAAGATGGGGCACATGAGGAAATAGAGAAGGCCTGAAACCCTGAGTCCTGAATGGGACTTTCAGCACCGGGGGAGGGGTTTAGGGTTTAGGGTTTAACTTCCTTAAATAAGCCTTATTATATAAGTCCTTATTACAGGTATTGAGGCCCCCTACCCCCCTCCCCCCTACCCCCCTTAAGGGTCCTATATGATACTGCGTGGGTTTAGGGACCAGGTTCGGCGACAGTGCGAGATCACACTTGGGAGAGCTCTTTGCACAAGGCAGCTGCCACAGCCGTGAATGACGACACAACTCTGCACTGCGCACCTACTTCTCAAGGCGGTGCAAAACAGCAGGACGGGTAATACTGCTGATGGACAAAATCCTGCATGACCCTAAGGACTCGAAACTATAGGAACTATGGTAAATTCCTTCTAATGGGTAATGCAGGATTTTGTCCATCAGCAGTATGAAGTATGAGCCCTGGGTAATAGGGTCCTTATCATACAGAAAGCCAAAGCCTATGTATACGCGTCCAAACCCTGAAGCCAGGCGGTTCTAGCCGTTTGAACGTTAATTACACTGTACCTCCAAAATCCAATACTATAAGTCTGAGCCCTACAGCTGAACAATTCTCGATAATTCCCTAAACCCCAAGCCCAAAACCTCAAATCAAACCTTAACATTCTAAGCGTAATAAAATTAGAAGCGAAATTCTGAAAACGCGATTTAGACTTTAGGCCACAAGCTGCTAACCTCAAGATCCTTTGAACACATCCCGAAGGTACAACTTTATGTACATGTGAATCTAAAGTATACAGTCCAACCAGTTCAAGCAGGCCAACCGGAAAGGACTGGACCGAGCCGCCCGCCTGCGTTGACACGGTAGCCTCGGATTATGGCTAGTACTGGGCTGCCTGTCCTCTCCAAGCCAAAGGGAACGATGTAGAAAATGAAGGGCCTTAAAAATTAGAATAGGCTTCCTCCTTAAAGGGATCCATGAGGGATACTGTAAGGGCTATCATAAGGCTTTAGTACAGGGGCCTTGTTAATTGTGTTCTGGAAGTGTTTTGGGGCCCACTGCACTATTATATTTACAATAAGGAACTCCCAACATAGTACTGGTGACTATTTAGGCCCCAATTTGCAGTAGCTAAGCACTGGATGACCGACAGACCTAGGCGACATTTTCGGTGCAGACTCTTCAGGGGTGTGACAACATTAGGTTTTCGGATATGGAAAGGAATTGAACTTAGGGTTTCAACTTAAAGAGTAATTGATGGCTTAGGGTTTAGGGTTTAAGGCTTAGTTTAGGGTTTAGGGTAGTTACTTATGTCTCCAAACCCTATACCAAGGACACTCGAACAGGAACCCAAGCTGGAGAATCATCCCATGCACGGCAGCTTTCACTGTTCGCAGACATTTCTACCATAAGTCCACAGGCATAAACTTAAAGCTTGGATTTCTGCGATGCAAACGCCCTTTAGAGCTATGCTTTGGGAATCAGACCTTATTGTTGCCCTCATCCGCCTCTAGCACCCGTCTGTACCCACAGCGAGCATCACTTATATAACCTCGAACAATGACATCCCGAACTTCCTCAACCGGCACCTAAAGCCTAAACCTAGACACTCAACCCTCAAACCTGAAGCCTGCAATTTGAATCCTGGACAGTAAAGCATCAACCCTAAAAACATGTTGCTAGCCCCTGAGCTGCTCCAAAGCAGAGCTTGCAATGCTTGTTGTTTTACATTTTGAAAGCATATGCCTGTGCACACAGACAATCCCTTGAAAAGAAAATCCTCACTGAACCCCAAGGAAAACCAACCACAGCCGCAGAACGCCCCCAACCTGATCAATAATGCAGACGAGGTCACCCGACTCCTCCCAGGTCTCTCGCTCAGCTGTGCGCGAGGCGGGCTCGCGCCAGTTCGTCTGCCCTGCGAGGGTGGGGCAAGGGTCCCGGTCATCTGAGCTTGAAGTCGGAATATGGAAGTCATCAGAACAGGGTTTGAAGGTAGTGTTACTGGTAATACATAATATGAGGACTAGTACATATGGGGACAAACTCAAGAGGTATAATGGACCCGGGGACAAAGGGATAATCATTGTTACGATTAGTTTGCTACGTATACCACCCGCCTCGCCTGCTCCTGGGCACCCTGCGGCAGATGCACTGCGCGGGCGTCACTTTGCATGGCATCCTGGTAAGCCCTACCTTAAACGCAAAACGTAAGCCTGCTTAAAGAAGACTTTGGACATCACAAGAAGTAACCAACAAAACCTACAAGACAGGTCAGCCCTAAACATTTGATTTGCTGCGAAATTCGGTTGCAGCTGGCGCAGCGTCAGGCTCGTATCTGGCAGATTGATCATCTCTTCTTGTTGCTGCACGGCTTTGTGCTTCGGGTTTCGGCCTCTGAGACGCCTTGGCACAGAAATCATCATCTCACCTTCGTTCATCATAACCAAGGCCGTCATTGCTCTGCATGTCCATCGATAAAAAACGGAAATCATGGTTCAGCGTGTTATGTTGGCTGTTTGGGGGGTCACTGCGCATTCGTTGGCCTTCTGCATTGAACAGCTCCACCCTAAGTCCCGCTTGACCGTAAGTCTACGGAGATCGCGAATCTCCGCTTCAACCACAACGGCAGAAAAACGGTGTTTGGATCCGCACCTTGCTTCTTGTACAGGGTTTTTTCATTTAGGGTGCGGTCTTAAAGCCTATAGGGTGTGTAGCCCAGGGCGAGGATTCCATACGCCTCTCCACAAAAAAAGCATCAGCTAAGTGTCTGTTCGGGTAAGAACTCAGATTGTTATAATCCAAAACGCTCCTGTTGGATGCTTTCAGAACAAAGCTTCAGGAGGAGTAGCTGTCCAGCACTATTTGCAAGGAGGCGTACATACGTATATACATTCACCCAAACCCGAATCATGTAGCCCTTACCCAAGCAGTGTCAAACAGTCTGACTAAAAAGGTCCCGGGGCAATGATCCCTTATTGAATTGAGCTTTTTGTCTCAAGGAAATACACATTCATATCCAAACGATGCTGCGTCAGTCAGAATGCTGGGCCTTCTGGGCATTGTAAAGCCCACTACAGCCCGAATCAACCCCCTTTCGGGAAGCCTCCAGGGATGTCATACTTCCGGCCGCCATACGTCAGCTTAACAACCTCAACCGCTCACAAGTGCTCGGGTAACGACATAGGCATCACGGTTGAAGCTGAGGCCTCTAGATCTAGGTTTAAGGCTTAGGCTCGAGGGCCGCGATCATCACATAACAAAACAAACAAGCCCCCAACGAAGCAACAAGAGCCACTTACATGAAGCGCTTGTGTCCGAGGTTTTCCATGTGTTTCAGCCCATGATGTAGTCCGAGCACAGTCTTGCTGCGGGCAAGTGCCAATCAACTGCCTTCTGCCAAGTCTACCAGTGCACCGAAAGCTTACACACGTGCAAACCACGCAGCATGAGATCAGAGGGAATCTCTTCAATTTCGGGTTTCCGGAGGCCGAAGATTGAAACTACTCCTTGTGCAAAGCGCCGGTTCGTACCGGGCTTGTAAAGCAGGCGTGGCCAGGACAGGGAAGTGGAATCGAGTAGAAACAAGTAGGAACATAAAACATGCTTTGCAGAAGAAGTCTGAAACTTGAGCGGGTCAGAAGACATCAATGTTTGATGCTTCGACGTTTGGGATTGTGTTGGCCAATTGTCAGATTCAACATAAGCACACCACCAGATCGATTCCATGAGAATCATCCTGGTGTCATTGGGGTTTATAGAGCTTTCAGGAATCGTACTTTCGCGTTTGGAACGGCTGGGAGCAGTGTTGAAGTCTTGCCAATGTAATGAGTCATGGGAACAGAACCTAAACATGGTCAAGTAATCCTTGCAATCCCCTGTTCGCAGCATTTCCGTTGTATCGAGGGTGCCTTCCCCTTTTAGATTAACACGCACGTGTTCCAGGTCTCGCCCCCGTCAAACTGCTATTTCCTGAACCCGAAACGCTTCGAGCCAGCCGGCCCGCAGCAGAGACCGGGCTCGAGCCACAAGCCCCAAATACAAACCACAAACCCCACACACCCGGAGACCCCAATGCCCCGCAGATAAGGAACATACCTTTTAGTCACTCCCCTAAGATTCGACGTAGGTTCCTTACTTAAGGGGTTTCCGGGTCTCTGGGCAACTTCAGCCATTCCGCTTCTGGGCTAATGAACTTAAATCGAGACCTCCCTTTGAAACTCGCAATGGGTGTGGGGTTTATCAAAGGAGAAAGGGAGGGACCCTTAATGGGGGCCCCTACCCTATACTGGGCCATATAATGGGTATATAATAGCTATATTAAGGGTATATACCTAGGGGTCCTTATTAAGGGTCCCTCCTTTTACCCTTGGAGTTTAGGTTTCGCGCTTACATAGAGGCCCGGAGAACAGGATCGGGGCTTCCGACTCCTTTCTAAGTCTCTGTCAGGAGTTGTCGCGTCGTCAGAACAACAAAATCCTGCGGAGTGTTTGGAAATATTGAGGCCTCAGTAATGGGAACAGGGTTTCGGGGGGGGACATGTTATACTATAGCCATAGTTTCATTCAGGAACCCTCAGGAATGCAGTAGGCTTGGTCAAGTGTTCCGGCATCTATTGTGTAGGGCCGGTGCCCTGAAACCTGCAACTTTACATCGGCAAAGCAAGGTGAACTTCGTTCATGAACAGCCCTTCCAGAAAAAACTCTCAAACAAAACCCCCAAAGCTTCAACCCATCTGTCATTTCCGGTGGGCTGGAGTTTTGAGCGTCGACTCACAATCGCGAAGTAACCAAGCATACAGCAGCTCAAGAAGCACCATGCCAGGCAGCTGTCTGGTGCTTAGCAGGGAATGGGCCGAATTTGTTATGAGGACTCTTATTGGTGATTATTCACTATCCAGTGGTTTTGGGGGTTCCCTTGGCTCTTTAGCTCCTTAATTAATAGGGATTATCATCATCCCTGGCTCCGTAGCTCCCATAATATCAATGGTTAGTTATATAGGGACTAGGAAAGGGAGCCATTCCCCCCATTCCCTACCAAGCACCAGGGAGTCAGGTGAACAAATGTGATTCTTGAACTTGCCCTAACCCCGAAACCCTCCAAACCCCAAACCCGTCTGCAAACCCTACTAAAACCCCGCGCTCTGAATCCAAACCCCCAAGCCCCTCAAAAAGCAGCGGCGCTTGACCCCAACTAACCTACCTTCCTAAAAACATGTACAAGAAAGTCATAATAACGAGCCCAAAAACGCAGGCTTTACTGGGTCCGGGGGAAGGGTCCCCCTAAACCCTAAACCCCAAGCCCGTAAACCCTAAACCCTCAACCCTGAACCCTGCAGCCCTGCAGTCTCTAAACCCTAAACCCTGAACGCAAAAATCCTTAAGTCCCTAAAGCCCCCATACCCTGAACCCGAAAACCCTTAAGCCCCTAAAGCCCCAAACCCTGAGCCCTAAAACTTATCCGCCGAGGCCAGAGGCCCAGGCGTCTTGGGGGTTACCTCAGGTACCCTCCACCTAATCCCCCCCCTCTCGCCCCCCCCCCTCTCCCCCCCCCTCCCCCCCCCCCCCCCCCCCCCTCCCCCCCTCCTCGCACTTCGTATCAACAACCGTGTAAAGGTTGGGGTTTGACAGGCCGCCCTAGCATAAAAAAACATCGACTGCCCCCTCGCCCCGCTACACAGCCGAGGCGGGCGGCGTAGCGTTAAATTAAGTCCCTAAAGTCCCAAAACCCAGAACACTAAAACCCTTAATTCCCTAAAGCCCCAAAACCCTGAACCTAAAACCCTGAAGACCCTAAAACTAACCTCTGCACAACAGACCAGGGTCTGTTCCACCAGGAGAAATACGAAAGATCGAAGAACACGTGCAGAAAGGGTGGTTTGGAATTAGGGGTTTCGGCTGTCGGGTTTAGGGTTTAAGGTTTTGGGTTTAGGGCGAAGGGCTCCAAACAGGAGCCAAGCCCAAGAAGTACAAGGGCGACGAATAGAAGTGCCCAAGACAGAGATGCGTAGGACCTCCACGACGAAGTTGAGGAGAAAAGCCCCCCAAAATCCTAAAGACCCTAAAACCCTATTAAGTCCCTACACCCCAAACACTGAACCCTAAAACCCTAAAGACCCTAAACCCTAAACCCCACGAAAGAAGCCGTGACGCCCTTCAGAACCTAAAGACCCTACTTGGAGGTTCATGGGTAGCTATCCTAATTATAACCTGTATCAGGGGACTTATAACCATATTTATAAGTACCCATGAACCTCCAAGTACACCCCACTGAAGAAGCCATGAAGCCAGCATCTGGTTGCCCTTCCGCACGAAGCAGCCAGCGTGGGCCGGGGAGGCGTCGCCCAAATGGCGCGCCCCTCCCGAAGAAGGGGGCTTCGGGTGTTAGGGTAGGGTTTATAGTAGAAGCCAGAAAGTTGGAACATGGATTTAGTTTAGAAGGATTAGTGCTAGGATCCCTTATACTTTGCCTTACGGGCATGGGGATAATGATGTTGCAGCTTTCTGCCTTCTACTGTAGAGTGTACTTGGAGGTTCATGGGCAGTTATAAGTGGGGTTGTAGGTATGGCAACTATAGTTCTAACTCCTATTCCGGGCTTATAAGCCCATCTATACCTAACCATGAACCTCCAAGTAGTAGGGTTTAGGATTTTGAGGTTTCAAGTTCAGGGTTTAGGGTCTAAGGTTTAGGATTTTGAGGTTTCAAGTTCAGTGTTTAGGGATCAGGGTTTAGGAATTGTGAGGCTTCGAGTTCAGGGTTTAGGGATTGCTGTAGAGTGTTAGGGTTTCAAGTTTAGGGCTTAGGACGAGGTTCTAGGGAACGGGAAGGCTGAGATGATGAGCCGACCTCCATTGAAAAGGATGTGGTCGTGTTCAAAGGATTCTGAGGACCAGGCGACTCCTTCTGTTGATCATATAAATCCTGCATTACCTTAAGGACCCTAAACTATGGGAATTATGGTATATTCCTTATTATGGGTAATGCAGGATTTCTATCATCAACCGTTGCACCCTCAAACAGGGGTATATCGTCCCCAATAGTAGGCATTTAGGGTCTTGTAGAAGGTACAGGGAGGGTCTAGGGACATAAGACAAGGAGGGGGTTCATTAGCAGGGTTGACATTGGAAACCTCAAACCGCCTAAACACCAAGTAAAGTCCAAACCAAACTGCCCCACACCCGGCCCTGCAACTTGAACCCCCTTCGCCAGATGAACCATAAGCCTTAAACCCTAAACCCTGGAACCGTCAAATGCTAGACCCTAATCCCTTAAACCCTGCCTCAAACCCTCAACCCCAAGCCCTGAACCTTAACCCGGTTGGTTTAGGGCTTAGGGTTTAGGGACCTGGAAACCCTAAACTCCTAAACCCTAAACCCCCCAAGCGATCTCAATGGAACTTAAGCCCGAAGCCCCAACTCCTCTCGTCAGCCCTAAACTTCAGAAAATCATAATACAGGGGCCTTAATAGTCAGAATAAGGTTTTGGTAAGAATAGGGTTTTGGGGCCCTTTATACTACAATTGTAATAAGGAGCCCGCAAAATGGTACTGGCAATTGTTAAGGCCCCTGGGTTAAGGCTCGAAGCTCTAAACCACACAAGCCCTCAAGGGTTTAGGATGTAGTGCTTTGGGGCTTTGCGCTTCAGGGCTACTGCTTGGGGTTTGGGTTTAGGGTTCGGGTGAGTGCCTAAACCATTCAGCTTAACATTTGAAGTCTCGGACCATTAAACCCCCAAAGTCTTAGGGCTTGCTACCAGTAGGGTTTAGGGTCTCAGGCACTCAAAAAGTAAATGCTTCGGTGCTAAGGGCCTTTCTTATCGGGTTTCGACACACTTCCTGTACTACCCAAGTACATCTAGACCCTAGACCCGACACCCTAAAACCCTAGAGCCCTGGAACCCTGAACCTGAAGGGGGGCTTGGGGTTTAGGGTTTCGAGTTAAGTCTAGGGCTCAGGGTGAGACGGATTGGGGTATAGGGTTTGGGGTTGAGGGTGAGAAACATTAGGTTTTTACGGACGAATAGAAATGCTTAAAGACTGCCAGAACCCTCGCTTCTGAACCCCTACCCTAAACCCTGAACCCTAAGCCTCTCAAAGAAGGCTCATTGGCGGCGACGAACTGGAGCCAAGCGAAAAGCCTTGTTGAGTTCTTCTGGCTGAGTTCTTGGAGCTTTCGGGGTACCTTCCAGGGCTTAGGATCTAAAGAGCTTCGCGTCTAGTGCTGGGAGTGTTGCGGTTTAGGGTCTATAGCTTCCGGTCGGGGTAAACCCTGAACTCTAAACTTGACCCTAAACCCTACAGTTCGGGGTGCAAGGGTGATTACTTCAATCCCCGCTCCACTCTCTCAATAGTTTGACTGTTACTCCCAAGCCCTAGCTTCACTAGTATGATGGCTATTGTTGTTATCTTGTTCCTATTATTAACACTATTATTGCGATCATTGTTAGTGTTTGTTGAGGTGTTGCAACTTGCGTTGTTGTTGCTGTCGCTGTCATCGTAGCAACTTGCTGATGTTACTAGAATGGTAACTTATTAAGTTTGTGAATTACTGAATTATCGCTGTATTCACGTGCAATCTGCTCATTTATTGGCACACCACACTGTTCTACCAGTAACCTGCACTGTTCTAACTAGTCAGAAACCTCACTCAATTACTGGTTAATCAGTTAGTTGGCGTGGCATGCGAGTGAGTTAGCCTAAGCAGGTGTATTTTGGGATATGTAGTTACATCACGATTGATGTTGCTGTTGCTGTTGTTGCTAGCAATACTCCCTAGCTCATGGTTGGGATAGGACTAAAAATTGAAAGTTGTATTCCTTATTGGGTTTAGGTACCCATAAACATGTAAAATGTTACCCAAATATGACAAAGCTCCCAGAGGCTCCATAGTAGTTCCTTTTTGGGAGTACCTTATTGGATTCTATACATGAACCCCAAAAAGGAACTACTATGGAGCCTCTGGGTATTCCTACTTGGAGGGTCGGGGGACTTAGTAAGCAGGTAGTAAGTAGACTTATAAGTACCCTAAATGGGACCCTAATTGGAGTTATGGTACTTATAAGTCCCTAAAATAACCAGTTACTAAGTCCCCCAAACCCTAAACCCTTATAGAATCCCTATAGATCCCTTTAAAGGGGCCCTTAAGGAAACCTTTACGGTTACTAAGTCCCCTAAAGACCCTCCAAGTATGAGTGCTACTACTCTTGTGACTTCGATTGTGACTTTTGCCAGGCCGACGGGCCGACGTGACAAAGAAGGCTTTAGGGTTTAGGGTTTAGGGTTTATAAGGCTTTAGGGTTTAGGGTTTATAAGGCTTTAGGGTTTAGGGTTTAGGGTTTATAAGGGTTTAGGGTTTATAAGGGTTTAGGGTTTAGGGTTTATAAGGGTTTAGGGTTTAGGGTTTATAAGGGTTTAGGGTTTAGGGTTTATAAGGGTTTAGGGTTTAGGGTTTATAAGGGTTTAGGGTTTATAAGGGTTTAGGGTTTAGGGTTTATAAGGGTTTAGGGTTTAAGGTTTATAAGGGTTTAGGGTTTAGGGTTTATAAGGGTTTAGGGTTTATAAGGGTTTAGGGTTTAGGGTTTAGGGTTTAGGGTTTATAAGGGTTTAGGGTTTAGGGTTTAGGGTTTATAAGGGTTTAGGGTTTAGGGTTTAGGATTTATAGGGGTTTATAAGGGTTTGTAGGGGTTTAGGGTTTATAAGGGCTTAGGGTTTAGGGTTTATAGGGGTTTAGGGTTTAGGGTTTAGGGTTTCCAATGGGGCTTCATCTGCACTACTTGTTTCTAGTGGGATATAACATGCTTACACTCACTTTGAAGATGATGTAGTTTCGATCTTGAGAGATTTTTCGTCTTTGCGGCGGTCGACACTAGCTTCGGGGCTTACGCGGTTCAAGGTTTACAACGCATGGGTCAAGAGGGACTGAAATCTTCTGTCGGCACCATCGGCAAAGGCAGAACTTAAGTTTGACTCCTGGAGTAGCGCTTCCCAAGATCTCAAAAGCAAAACCCAGATTCGGGGAAAGGTTCGCGGTGCGACCCGGCGACCTCTTGACAAGAAGGGTATCTTTCTTCGCGTTCTTCAGTTTTGACAAGGACACCCCGACATTACAAGGGCATGAGAGCATTTTACAGTGCTGAGGAACCCTTCGACACGTGCAGGAGCGGTCCGTCGAAAAGAGTTTGCATCCCAGACCCTGCGACACCCAATGAAGCCGGCGGCGCAATTAACTAAACCTCGGGACCCCTAAATAGCCCTAGATCCAGCAGCCGGCAGCACAGGACACCAAACCCCACGACCCTTGACGCTTAAACCCGTAAACCTTATACCCTTAAACTCTACACCTGAAGGGTTAAGATTTGTCCGGGACGGGGTCCGAGTGGCAAAAATCCTGTGAGGGCCATGGTTCCAGCCTGTGCTGCGGTTCGAGGTCTTGTTTTGGGGTATGGGATTTCTGCATTGTGGGTTTAGGGTATGAGGTCTTATACGACTGGGTATTATGCTGCGTTATGCATTGTACTTGTATGAGTTTCTAAACTACACGGATAGAGACCAACACTGCCTAGGATTAGTTTAGAGGGGGAGCCATGACAAGTTGCAACATCAAACAGGCCATCAGAATCCTGGAAACGAATCTAGTGGCCCTTACATAGGAGCCCAGGCAATCAGAACAGACCCAAATCCTAAACCCTAAAGCCCTAAACCCTAACCTGCCAAGGCACCATAGGCGCAACGACCCCAAACCCCTGTAATTAAATCACGATCCTGCCAACTCAAATGGAGTTCCTTCTGGCGGCCCTGTAAAACCTCGGGGGCGGGGCTCTTAACTGGTCCACAGCTTAGGGTTTGACAAACACCCGCCAGGAATCCGAAGTTCGAATCAATAACATAATATAGGGGCCTGAATAGTTTGAGCAGGGGATTTGGGGCCTACCATACCATAATGATAATAAGGAACCCCAGAATAGTATAGGCAACAATGAAGGCCCGTATATCATCGAACACCACGATAGGTCCGTTATAGGTAATCTCACAGGCCCCAAAACCCAAGGGAACAAAAGTGGAAACCCTCAGAATCGACCACCTGATAGAACCCCAAAAGTCAAAAAGCTGAGTTTACAGCCAATAAGTAATTAGTGAGGCCCCTAAAGTATCGGCCCCCACCCGAGCCTGACAAAGGTCTCGGTGGCGCTTCGCGGCAACGGGTTTGGGCCAAAACGGCTGTCAAGGGTTCAGGTTCCGGCTTACCCACCTAGAGGATCATGGGACTTAGTAAGTAAGGTTATAAGCACCTTACTCGGGGTTATAAGTAGTTATAAGTACAGTTACCCTAATTATAACCCTAGTTGCTAAGTCCCATGATCCTTGAAGCAGGGTGTGTGTTTTGTGTTCACGGGCTCTCTGATGGCCGTTAGAAGGAAGACGATCGCACTGTTTCGACGGAACAAGCAGCCTTGCAAACCCCCTCAGCTTGGCGCAAGGACTTATGGTGTTCAGGGCACAGGGGAAGTGGGGTTTAGGACTTACTTGCTTCATCTGCTTTGCTACTGCTCTACGCAACCTGCAAACGCAAGCTGTGAAGGCTCTACACAAAATCAAAGGGCACCTGAAAACTCAGCTGAAACAGATCAGAACACTGGAAACGCCACTTGTTTACTCCAGGGACCCCGATCACTTACTTGTCCAGTATGCAAGGGAACCAAAGATTGGTTTTCGGGATTATATTAAATGATATTGCACCCCAAAACTTCTTAAGGTTAACGGTTGTGTACTCCACTACTAAGGTTAGGAAACCCTAAAACCCCAAACGCTAGAGCATCCTTTGCAACATCCGAAGCCACAAAATGCACACAAGGGCAGTCCGATGGTCTCTGCGGCGAATAGGAAAAATCATCCAGCCAACTGAAGCCTTCCGGCACGTCGAAGGTTCAGGGTTTAGGGCGTAGATGGCCTATGGGTTTAGGGTTCAGGGGTTTAAGGGTTGAGGGTGTAAGGCCTATACGGCGTCCTTGGATGGTTTGAGACAGAATCTGCCATGGAGTCCGTGGAGATTGGTGCGGTGATCCACTGTACTTTACCGAAAGGATAACAATGCTCCAACTTTCTGGCTCCTCCTACCGGGCACCTATGGCACTCATATCACGCCGGATCCCTGGTCTGTTTCCCAGACCTTCCTAAATCCCTTGATTACAGGGTATACCTCAAAAGGGTACTATTCGTACCAAAGAACTCTTTATAATCGGGTCGATAAGGAGCAACGAGAGCTTCTCCGTAGTTAATAGGTTAAGCTATGAGTTGTATGAGTTGAGGCATGTTCCTTAACTAAGGGATATTGGAAGGTCTGGGTGACGCCAGATTGTAGGGTTTAGGGTTTGAGCTCGAGGTTTAGGGCTTAGGGCTTAGGGTCGTTGAGCTCCTATGTGGTTGAGAGCTTGTGTTCTGAGACCTGCCAAAGAGACACATAGATGAAGACAAGAGCAAGATGGTATCAAAATCCTAAACCCCTAAACCCTCTAAACTCAATAAGCCCGAACCGGAACCCTAAACCCCTTAACCCCGGCAAACCCTGTAAGCTCTATACCCCTAAATCTTACATCGAAGTTGAGGGATCGGGGGCTTCAACCTTCTGTCCTAAAATGACCCTGCATACTTGGATGGTCGGGGGACTTAGCAACTAGTTATTTTAGGGACTTATAAGTACCATAACCCCAGTTAGGGTTCCTTTTAGGGTACTTATAAGTCTACTTACTACCTACTTACTAAGTCCCCGGACCCTCCAAGTAACCCTAAACCCTAAACCTATATGGGTGGTTGTCAAAATTATGGTCCCTGTTTGGGGCGCCCTAAATAGTAGGTGCCGTATTATAATAAGGACCCAAAAAGGGACCCTGATATGACAATCACCCCTAAAGAACCTAGAACCTAACAATTATCGACAACCCTAAACCTTAATATCGGGGCTGTAATGATTCCAACAGGGTTCTGGGGTGGAATGCAGTATACAGGACGTGCAAGAGTATGAATACGTGCAATTCTTCAGGTCTCTACGTTGACTGTCACTAGCTCTCCGGGAGTTTGGGAAAATCAAAGGCCCCAGTATAAAGCTGAGCCACCAGAATCCACTCTAATGGGACTTCTGTGAAAGGGACCCTCCCGAAATTTCTAAAAACCCTTCTATACGACCCTGACCCTAAACCCTAAAACCCTTTAAACCCTAAAGCCCTTAAACCCTAAAACCCTACAAACCCTAAAACCCTTAAACCCTTAACCCTGGGACAACGCTGAAACAACTTTAAGCCCGTCTTCATCCCTTATGTTCCCCTGTAACACCCATGCCTTGGAGCTGATTAGGGTTTAGGGTTTAGGGGATAGGGTTTAGGGTTTAGGGTTTAGGGTATAGTTCCAAACCCTAAACCCTAAACCCTAAACCGACCCTGCTTAAAGGATCATGGGACTTAGTAAGTAAGCTTATAAAGTACAAAGTACCTTAATTGGGGTTGTAAGTAGCTATAAGTATTGTTACTCAAAGTTACTAAGTCCCATGATCCTTTAAGTGGACATGCCCTAAACCCCTAAACCCTAAACCCTGTACCCTAAACCCTAAACCCCTAAACCCTAAAATCTAAAGCCCTAAACCCTAAACCCTGTACCCTAAACCCCAAACCTTAAAACCCCAAACCCCCCTAAACCCTAAACCCTAAACCCTAAACCCCTAAACCCTAAAATCTAAAGCCCTAAACCCTAAACCCTGTACCCTAAACCCTAAACCCCTAAACCCTAAAAAATTAAAACCCTAAACCCCAAAAATTTAAAACCCTAAACCCTAAAGGACACCTGAGCTTCCTCGAGATGTCGGGCGTTGTCGACACTCTTTCGCCTCAGGAGCTGCGGGTTTAGGGCTTAAGGGCTTAAGGGATCTACAGGGGTTCCTTAAAGGGGCCTATATGGGATCTATAGTATACCTGGACCCCAAAAGTATGTAGAAGAATGGCCTTTTTATGGTTTTGGGCCATGATTTTACCTACTTTTGAGGGTCTAGGTGGGGATGGTTCAGGGCGTACCCTCAGAGGTCCCCATTGTAGCTCCTGTTTGGGGTTACCTCTCAAGGATCCTATGTATCCTAGGATACCCAGTAACCTAAGAACAAAAAGGCCTCTCTTTTTTGGTATTGGGTAACTTTATAAGGAGCCTAGGACTAGAAAAAGGGAATAAGGGTACTACTGGGCATCCTAGTATCATACTGGTCTTATGAAACCAGAAAAGGAACGGCAACGGAGACTATCTTAGGGGCTGAGTACCCTTGCACAAAAAAGGTTAACCTTTTCAATTAGGCTAGGATTGTATTGTATAAACCCCAAAAGGCCAGTTACCTACTCAGCTACTAAGGCGTGGCTAGGACGCGCTGTGGTGCAGTGGTGCAGGGCTCTTCTACACCGGAATGGCCCTTGTAAGGTCCGGTCCCTGTTTAAGCAGCCCTTGGTTATCAGAAGCACCCGCAGCATTCAGAATGAACCGCGACAAAGGACTTAGGGTGTAGGGTTTCTCACGGTCAGGAATTGGATTTGGCTCGGGGGTTGTAGGCTTTATCGGAGGTTTTCCATGTAACTCCAACATCCACCTGGCAGTAAGGCACCTAGAAGTATTCGGAGGGGGATCCTTAACATGACGAAGGGTACGTATAAGGGCTGTTGGAGTCTCCGGCTAGCAGGCTTCGGTTGGGGTGGGGTCTGCAAATCACCCTTAACCCGAAACCGTTAAGGGTACAGTTTCAACCTCTCCCCACAGTCCCCTTTGCAAGCCGCCAGCCCATAGGATGGAAGATGCGGCCACAAAGTTCTATCCTAACGCCTAAACCCTGAACTACTGGAAGGATCCCAGGACTAATAGCATGTGTCAAGTCGGTGTCATCGGTATCCCAGTAGGTGCTGACTCTGTGCTATGCCCCGCGATCTTTCAATATTTACAGCCCCAAAAGCCCGAGCTTTGTCCCAAATCCGAAACCTGGACTAAACCCGTACACCCCCAGATCAAAGAAATCTGAAAAGTGCTTTATTCAAAAACCCTTAGGACATGTAGCTTTGCAAGATCTTGCTTTAGCTAAAAACCTTCATAGAACCCTGTACCCTTGACTCTCCAGACTCTGAAGCCGAAAACCCTTAAGCCCTGTAGCACCTCTATGGAAACCCATATACAAACCGTACTCTAACCTTCAAGGAATCCGTAGAAAAGGAGCCCATGAAGTAATCCTCAAGTACAGGAGCCCTGAAACCGCAAAGACGCCGAGACGCCATGTTTCCGGCGTTCCAACGCGCAATGTTCGGGGAGAAGTAGTCGTAGGGAAGACGCAGGACCTCTTTCAGGGCTTTAAGGTTTAGGGTTTAGGGTTTTTTCCAGAAATACTAGC